CACATTGGGCTCCCTGCTTAGCAAGGAGACTGCTGTCTGCCACTCCCCCTGCTTATGTTCTCTCCCTCTCTGACAGATAAATAAATAAAATCTTTAAAAAAAAAAAAATAAGGGGCACCTGGGTGGCTCAGTCAGTTAAGCCTTTGGCTCAGATCGTGATCCCAGGGTCCTGGAATCAATTCCATATCCGGCTCTCTGCTCAGCCGGGAGCCTACTTCTCCCTCTCCCTCTGCTGCTTACTCTGCTTGTGCTCTCTCTCTCTGTCAAATAAATAAGTAAAATCTTTTTTAAAAAAGATTTAAAAAAAAGTAAACATACACACAAATAACTATGAGTTTATCTTTGTAAAACATACAAAAACAAAAACCTGCCAAACCGTTTTTTGTTTTTTTTATTTTTAAAGATTTTATTTATTTATTTGACAGACCGAGATCACAAGTAGGCAGAGAGAGAGAGAGAGGAGGAGGAGGCAGGCTTCCCGCTGAGCGGAGAGCCCGATGCGGGGCTCGATCCCAGGACCCTGGGATCATGACCTGAGCCGAAGGCAGAGGCTTTAACCCACTGAGCCACCCAGGTGCCCCTGCCAAACCGTTTTTGAGAGTGGCCATATCATTTCATGTTCTCACCAACAATGTGTGTGTGTTTATGTTGTTCCAGTTTTAGTATTGTCATTTTTTGTTTTTTGTTTGGTTTTTAATTTTAGCCATTAGATTAAGTGTGCAGTGTTATCTTATTCTGTTTTTAATTTGCATTTCTCCAGTGGTTAATTATATCAAACACCTTTTCATGTGCTTTTTTTGCCATCTATATATCTTCTTTGGTGAAGTATCTGTTCACATCTTTTGTGCAGTTTTTATTGGGTTTTCTTACTGTGGAGTTTGAGAGTTCTTTTTTGGTTTTGAATGTAGGTCCTTTTTGGAATACATGATTTGCAAATATTTTCATCTAAATTTTACCATATGTTTTCATTTTTTAGCAAGATCCTTTGCAGAGTAAAAGCTTTTAATTTGTCAAAGTTTAATTCATAATTTTTTGTTTTGTGAATTATGCTTTGGATATCATATCTAAGAACTCTTGGTCAAATCAGAGTCACACAGGTTTTTCTCTCATGGTTTCTTCTAAAAGTTTTATAGTTTATGTTTTACATTTAGATATAAACAGTTTTGAATTAATTTTTATATACGGTGTGAAGTTTAAGTCAAGATTCTTTTTTTGTTTTTTTGCATATAGATTAACATTTCTTTTATACTATGTTAACAACAAATTCTCTTAATTCTCCTTCATCAGAGACTGTCTTTATTTCTGAGGGATATTCTTACTGGAATATAGAATTCTAGGTTGAGGGGCACCTGGGTGGCTCAGTGCGTTAAGTGTCTGCCTTCAGCTCAGGTCCTGATCTTGGGTCCTGGGATCGAGCCCCAGGTCCTAGGATCAAGCCCTAGGTCAGGCTTCTGGCTCATGGGGAAGTCTGCTTCTCCCTTTCCCTTTGCCCCTCCCCTCTCTGATATTCTCTTGCACTCTCTCTCCTTTCAAATAAATAAATTAAATAAATAAATAGATTCATTAATAAGATAGAATTCTAGGTTGACATTTCTTTTTTAGTACTTAAAAAGATGTTCCACTGCCTTTAGACCTTTGTGGTTTTGATGAGAAACCTCCAGTCATTTGAATGTTTGTTCCCCAATATATAATCTGGTTGCTTTTAAGACTTATTCTTTGCCTTCAGGTTTTAATTTTCAGTTTTATTATTGTATGCCTGGGCATCAATTTCTTTGTGTTTATCCAGTTGCAATATTCTGAACTTCTTGAACCTACAGATTTATATCTTTCATCCACTATGGGATGTTTATAGTCATTGTTTTTCTTCGGATGGTTTTTCTGGACTGTGTTCTTTGTCTTTTCCTTCTGGGATTCAAATCACAGAAATGTTCGGCCATTTCTTATTGTCTCACAGATTCATGAAGTTCTGTTTTCATTCTCTCTCTCTGTCTCTTCACTGCCTTTCCTCTCTTGTTCAGGTAGAATGAAAAAAAATCCAAAAAGCAAAATCCAGAGTATCTGCTCACCTTCTGTCCTATAGAATTCTGTCCTGAATCCTGCTCCTCAGACTAGGAAGAGGGTTCTTCTGAAGAAACTCTTCATATTTGCACCCAGTATACAGATCCAGGTGTCAGGTTTTAGGCTGTCCCTGAGTCTAGGCCAGGAAATACCATAGAAAATAAAAACAGGAAACTCACCACTGGTTTGGTGTTAGAGTTCCCTGACCAGACTTATTCTTCTGAGTCCTCAGATAGCTTTTCTACACATTCTGTCCAAGATCCTTAGCTGTGTTCAGTGGGTGAGACAAAGTGAAATCTGCTTACTCTTAAAGATTTTCCATCAGTAAGCTCATTTGAGAACAGTTTAAGTGGAAGATTATTTAGAGAATTTCTTTAAGCAAGTGTGGAACAACCAGTGAAGAATGTAAATAAATTCCTTTCCCCCCATTTCTTTGCCTATTGCCAAAAACTTTTCTTTTTTTTTTTTTTTTTTTAAGATTTATTTATTTATTTGACAGAGAGAGATCACAAGTAGATGGAGAGGCAGGCAGAGAGAGGGGGGCGGGAAGCAGGCTCCCTGCTGAGCAGGGAGCCCAATGCGGGACTCGATCCCAGGACCCCGAGATCACAACCTGAGCCGAAGGCAGCGGCTTAACCCACTGAGCCACCCAGGCGCCCTGCCAAAAACCTTTCTCAAACTAGCCATCTTGTATGTTTTCCAAATTTTGATTTAAAAATATATCTAGGGGTGCCTGGGTGGCTCAGTGGGTTGAGCCGCTGCCTTCGGCTCGGGTCGTGATCTCGGGGTCCTGGGATCGAGCCCCGCATCGGGCTCTCTGCTCAGCAGGAGCCTGCTTCCTCCTCTCTCTCTGCCTGCCTCTCTGCCTGCTTGTGATCTCTCTGTCAAATAAATAAATAAAAAATCTTTAAAAAATATATATATATATCTATATTTGGACATGATTTTTTAAAACATACAGATTCAGGGCACCTGGGTGGCTCAGTGGGTTAAGCCACTGCTTTTGGCTCAGGTCATGGTCTCAGGGTCCTGGGATCAAGTTCTGCATTGGGCTCTCTGCTCAGCGGAGAGCCTGCTTCCCTCTCTCTCTCTTTGCCTTCCTCTCTATCTACTTGTGATCTCTCTCTGTCAAATAAGTAAAATCTTTAATAAAACATACAGATTTCAAAACCATAATTTTTTTTAATTTTATTTTTTATAAACATAAAATATATTTTTATCTGCAGGGGTACAGGTCTGTGAATCACCAGGTTTACACACTTCACAGCACTCACCATAGCACATACCCTCCCCAATGTCCATAACCCCAACTCCCCTCTCTCAACCCCCCTCCCCACATCAACCCTCAGAAACCATAATTTTTTTAAAGATTTAATTTATTTGAGAGAGAGGAAGAGCATGCAAGTGGGGGGAGAGGGAGAGGGGGAGTGAGAGAACCTCAAGCAGATTTTGTGCTGAGCCTGGAGCCCAGAGCCTGATGCAGAGCTCCATCTCATAACCCTGAGATCATGATCTGAGCTGAAACCAAGTGTCAGACACTTAATCAACTGAGCCACCCAGGTGCCCCTAAAACCAATGTTATTTTTTTAATATTAGTTTTTGAAGTACTAGATATATTTTAATGTGTTATGTGAACATTTTGACCAAACAAATGTGACTAATGGATCTGAGAATTCATTTTGAATAAAATTTATAGTTATTATTGAACAGTCCTTATTAACTTGCATTTTAATGTAGGTGTTCCTTAACCTTCTTATCTTTAATCAATTTTTCACTACAAGAATAACAAAACATACAATTAAATTAAGCCATTTTACTTAAGGCTGTACAAAGCCATCAATTTTTATGATGACTGATTTTTGAGCTTTATCATCTGATCTATGCTGTCTGTCCTACATGCTTATTTGAGTCACTTCACAAAGATATCCAAGTGGTCAATGAAAAGGATTTCAACTTCATTAGTTAATAGAGAAAATAAAAATCAAACTGTCATGCAATACCACCAAAATAGCTAAAATGAAAAACATAGTATCAATTATAGGCAAGAATGTGGTATAACTGAAATTTTCTTACTGTTGTCAGGAGCCTTAATTTGGTATAACCACTTTGGAAAATGGTTTCGCAGTATCTTCTAAAACTAGTACTAAATGTGTAGACCTTAGGACTAGTAGTTCCATCCTTTCATATATATCAAACAGAAACATATACATATGTTCACAAAAAGAATGTCTATGAGTGTTCAAAGATGTATGTTTCTATATGTATATTTCTATATGTATGTTTCTATATGTATGTTATATACTTCAGTAGAAATAGTATACTAAATTAATTAGATCTTGATTTTTTTTGTTTCTTCAAGATTGCCTATTAGTATATCTACTTATTGGTCACCCCTGATGGAACTCATTAGATGGAGTAGTTTTTCAGTTGACTCAGTAGAGAGGATCTTTTCATCAGAGAACTAGGAATGGTGTTATCTTCAGAAGAATAATTGATTTTAATGCCAAAAAACACAGAATTGATTTTTAAATAGCTCAGATATTTTTATTTATCTATTTATTTGAGAGAGAGACAGGCATAGAGCATGCATGCAGGGGGATGGGTGGTGGGTTGCAGAGAGAGAGGGAGAGAGTATTTTAAGCATTCAATGGACTGAGCCACCCAGCTATCTTATAAATAGCCTAAATATTTTTAAAGGAAAAGGTAAGGTGTGCTCCATACAGAGCCCTTCTAAAATCTTCCACAGGCCCCTAAACCTGTGAAGTGTGGGAGCCCAGATAGTACTGGAGCAGATTGGCCTTTCTGTTGACCCTTTCACAGTGTACTCATAATAAATTTTGGATGCAGGTAAATACCAGTCATATATCATAATTCTGTTGTCACTTCCCAGCCCCTCTGTTTTGTTTTATGGGTTTTTTAATTATTTGTTTTTGTTTTTGCAGATCTTTTCACAGATGCTGCTGAGACTGAAAAAATGGCCAAAAGTTTAGAAGATTCTGAAGGAGTCTGTTTTGTTCCATCTTTTAATGGATTGCAGGTATTTTTTAAAAAATTTTTAAATTTTTTTATTAGTCAGTGGCAACTACAGACATTTCTATCCTCATACCCACACTCAAAATTATGTACCTGCCACTCCCTTACCTGAAAATTTGGGCACTAATCACTGTGAAGGTGAAGGCATGTTCTGGGGCTGAGGAGCTGTGACTTAGCAAGGATAAGAAAATACAGCACATTCAGCCTGGAGCTCCACCCATGTGGAAATGAGAAGTTGGCAGGTTTAGTATAGAACTTTTACATAAGACTTAGGATTACTTTATCATAACCAAAAGTTGCCATTTCCCAGTAGGGAGAGATATATCTGTATATTGTCATTATTTTACTCAGAGGAAGTATCCCATTGAGAATTAGAAAAATAATGTGAAGATTACATGTGTGCATGCCCACACACACACACACACACACACACACATACATATAGGCATATTTTGCAATAACTTATAAGTTTCATTAACTTTTTTTGTTTGTTTGTTTCATTAACTTTTTTTAAAAAATCAAAATTTCTTTTGGTTAACTGTTGTGATGGAGTATTGGTTACTTCACCTAATCAAAAAGTGAACCCAGTAAAAGACTTGGCTTTGTAATATTTAACTTAGTATTTACTTGAAAGATCTGTGATATTGCCTTTGATTTTAGCGTATTGTAATAAGACCTTTAAAAAACTTTTCAGGTATATTATTATGAACAAAATTCCATTTTTTTGAAATCTTATGCTGGCCTTTTAATCTTCTTATAAATATGTTTCCTTTCAGAAAATAAAAATTTCTCTTACTTCTAGTCCATCCCATTCTCAGGCAATCAGTTAAAAAAAGCCCCAAATTTGAAAGTTTGGACAATATAATGTAGAAGGTGGTGAAAAAAGATTAGATCAGGGTGTTTCAAATCTCTAAAAATCCGGATTTTGAATCTAAACTTTTAATGGTCATTAATATCTGTAAAAATTTCCTTCTATATACATTATCCTAAAGGACTGAAAGTTTATAAACTACGCAGTGGAGGTTGCAGTGTCCTCTTTTAGGGTGATATGAGGAAACTAAATAGCGTCCATCCTAGGACAGGGGGTGAAGAATATTTGTTCAGTTGAGGTTTCAGGAGGAAGCTTGAGATGAATAGTTGTCACCAGCCAAGGTAGGATTTAATTAGGCTACTGGGGATTCTTCCCTTTTTGAGAAGTATGCTGGGGGATTTAATAGTGGTTTTATCTTGATACCTCTGTTTTTAACTTCTGCCTCAGTCCATCTGCCTCTAAAAATAATTTAAAATATATGATTAAAAAATATTGCTAAAACCCAGAAGATTAGACAAAACTCTCACAGATAACAGTTTTAATTTCATGTTAATAAAAAATGTCCCTATCCTGCCATGACTGCCTCCTGGCAGTATGTTGGATTTGAGAGGAGCAGGGGAAGGCTGCAGACCAAGTATTTCCCAATGTAGCATTGAAACTCCTCAGTAGAAACCAAAAGTTAATTCAAACAACAGTAGTGTGTTGATACTAAGCTGTTTGGAAAATAGGAGGGAGATCACTGATAAGCAGCCTATGTCAACAGCTAAAGAAAATGAGGGATGGGGAAATGGAGGGAAGGGTCAAGTATCTGCCATACTGCCTTTAATTTTAGAATATTGTTATACCATAGATAACAGGGGGTAAGATATTAAAAAATCACCATAGCCTTAATTTCTCCAGGGATTCTGTTGAGGAAGGGGTTTGGGGGCACTTTGAGGAAAGTGGGACGTCCAGGACAACCACTTCCGGGAATGGCAAGGGGCGAGCTAGAGCATGGGGGCCATAACCCCAGGGTGACATCAGTTGGTGCAGCCATTGTGGCTTCACTCTTCAGAGCTTGTGGTTTGTGGGGGGAGACACTAATGGAAAGTATCTTTGACAGGCATCAGAGGCAGGAATCAGTAGCTAGCTGCTTAACTTGAAAGTTACTGTGGTGGTGGCAGTGGTAGGATGGACAGGACTGTGGACCAAGTGCTGGTCTTCAGAGGCTGAGGAGTCATGCTCCAATGAGGTTTCTTAGGTTTGCAGGGAACCAGCTTGCTCTTCCTACCCTGAAGGGAGCTGGTGGTTCACTGGTACTGGAAAGGAGTCAGCAACTGACTTTGCAGTTCTTAATGTTCTTTGTGGTTTCTTCTCTGTAGGTCCCCTTTTCTCATTACCAGCTCTGCTCTGTATTCTTTCTTCCTCCTAACTTCTGCTTAATTGTCATTTTCCTCACACTCTCTGCTTCTCCATAATTTGGAAATACATACAACGTTCTAACACTTTGTGCCTTTTAGCTTCAGTTCCCCCTGTTGATGGTCTTTTTCTGAAATGGTCTTTTCTGGGAAATCTGAGACTCTGACTGGAGCACCTGGTCTTCTCAAGCTTTGCACAGATTTTAAGTTAGTCCTGCTCAGTCCCCATAGTTGTGACACTGGCAGTGGAACTAGGGTGTGAAACATGGCTGCTGTAGACAACAAGGTCTGTGGATTCAAGCAGTTCCTTCAGAAAGAGATGTGGCCAGCAAGTACTGGGAATGCCATCTCTGGTCTTGTGAGTGACTGGGATCTCTGCACCATGGAAAGGTGAAGGGAGGTAAAACATGAAGTTGATGTGGTCCTAAGCAAACATGGGGAAAGGGAAGTGTCTTCTCTAACAGTAGATGCATAGTGGCCTAGGGTGACCATGGGAAGTAGTTGTGTTTTTCTAGGACCCGTGATCTGGAAGTTTGAAGGTCCTCCTCTGGATAGCCACCACTGAAGCTGTTTGCCCAGCACAGAGCTGGTCATGTTATAGCAACCACAGAATGAGTAGAGAGAACTTCTCAGAGTTGGTTACAGGTTAGGAGAATTTATTTACAATAGAAGGAAGGATTGATTCAGAAGGCACAGAAAGGGTTATGAAGAAAGTCAGTAGTGGGAAGGGTTTTAGTAAGAAATAATAGTAATATAAAATTGTAGCAAATTCTTATCAGGCACTGTTCTAAATGTCATGTGTTATCTCATTTAATCCTCAGTAACTCCGTAAGGCAGAAAATGCTCTTATCATCCCATTCCAAAGATGGGAAAACTAATGTAGAGCTGTTAAATCACTTGCGTGGTCTCATACAGCTAGTGAGTGGCAGAGCTGGTTTCAGGGCCCATGTGTTCTGATTCCAGAGTCTAGGTTCTTAACCACTCTGCTATACTGGTTCATGATACAGTATAAAAAGTGACATTGGGAATACATAGTAGGTGCCACAGGAGTTTGTGTTTAAGTTCACAGTTGACAAAGGGCAAGAGGTGTTAACCGTCCTGCAAGGCCCCAGCATATTAGGCTAGGATCCCAGTGGTAACAAGGGCCTATGGTGGCAGGCAGTCTGTTCCTTGGGCAGGAGTCAGCTACATTAGCTTTGGCCTCCAAACAAAGCTTTACTGAGTCCTGCTGTTCCTATTTGGTTGATGGTCTGGAAGGCTTACTCAGTGGGATTGACAGTGACAGATTAGAAATGTGGCTGGAGGTTATCTGTCCTGGCAAGGTGTGACCAGGCCCAAAGGACTTTGCCATGTGTTTCCTACCATATCATCCCAAAGACAGACTCACTTGGACTATCTAATACAGGGGAGTTGTAACCGAAAAGGACTTTTTGGGTCTCTATGGAATTTATTACCCCTCAGATTGGCCTGTTACTAATTAATTATAAATTATGTGCTTAGCTATATTTACAAAAGTGATTTCAGGCCAGTCATACCAGGAGTTTATAAAAAAGAAAATGTGGTATATTAAAAGAAAATGTTTTTGCACAGAAAATACATAGCACATTGCTAGGGACTCATTGAACTAGCTGAATCTGACCTCTCTTTGTTTTACAGTATTGTATCACCTGATAGAAGCCAGCGTGACTATAAATAAGCTTTTACTGAGTGAATCACCAAAACACATTAATAATAAATAAAAATTAATAAATCCTGAAAAATAATCAGGATAAAATCACAATAGGAGGAAAATCACAGCTACAGGAAGGATAAGATGTAATATGGAATTTCTTCAATTAAGTAACGAGGAAGAGTATTGTTTGTTCATTAATTGAACAAATGTGTGAGGATGCCCTGTGGGGGCCAGATGCAGTGCAAGACCCTGGAAACATATAGGAGTGAGTTTCTGCAGGGAAGACAGACTTTTAACAAATGTTCACACAAGTATACATGATTGTCAATATATGATATGATGTGAAGCTCTAGGGTTCCATAAAAGCGGTGATGGAAGGGGCGCCTGAGTGGCTCAGTCAGTTTAGCATCTGCCTTTGGCTCAGGTTGGGCTCAAACCCTACAATGGACTCCTTGCTCAGCAGGGAGTCTGGGTCTCCCTCTCCCTCTGCTGCTCCCCCTGCTTGTGCTCTCTTTCTCTCTGTGTCAAATAAATAAATAAAATCTTGAAAACAAAAATAAAAACGATGATGGGGGCTTGGTCTTGTCTCTGGGATCAGAAATTTTCCCAGAGGAATCTGAGCCAAAATCTGGAAGTGGAGTAGGATTAACCAGGAAAAGTGGTGGTAGAAAGTTTTCCAGGTAATGAGATGATGTCTCAAGGCCCTGAAGCTAGAAGGCATTTTTCTTGGGGACCATCATCCTGATAGCACTAATACTTCCCTCTGTTGCAACCTCGTATCTTAACATTGAAACCATTCTTCTGTGTCTTTCCTTGTGAGATTATAAGCTCTGGCAGGAGTCTTTGCTCTTCATCTTTGTGTCCCAGAATTGTCTTGCATTTCTGGGGATGCAAAGATGAAAACAAACTTCATCCGACAGATAGAGAATTCCAGCTCAAGACTTCGGCTCTTTTAAAGACGGAAGTTAGGCCGAGTCATTTCTCCTATGAGGCAATGAGACTATTAAGCTAAGAAATAGAAGAGTTTAGTTTGAATGTCTGACAGCATACTAGGTGTAAGTTGTGACACTGGAAAACACATATTCTGCATTATAGTTTTTTAATCTTAAGACTAATGTATATTTTTAAAAAAACACTCTACAAAAACGATTCTGGGTTAAAAACTTTACAGATGGAGAAAAGGGGAAATACTAGGATTGCTTTTCATTTCTTCTTGTAGAGCTAGATATTTAATAGTTTGTTACTCTGAAAAAAAACGATTAATAATTTGTTACTCTGTCTCAGTCCCTTCTCTTCGTATGAGTTCAGACAGAAGGTTTAGCTAAGTCCAATACCTATGACTCAGCCTTGCTTAGGTCCTATTAAAGAGTTATCGTAATAGTTCACGTACTATAGGGCTGTCATTTATTTTAAAACTACTTAACTCCAAGCATTCTTTTTTTCTACCATGGCTGTGTTTTTATTGCATAATATGTCTTCCGAGACTATAGATATAATTTAGAACAATAATAAAAATTCTTCCCAGTGGAGATTCAACGTGGGGGTTTGGGGGGGTAGGAATAGAATAAATGAAACAAGATGGGATAGGAAGGGGGACAAACCATAAGAGACTCTTAATCTCACAAAACAAACTGAGGGTTGCCAGCGGTGGAGGGCGGTAGGGAGAGGGTGGTGGGGTTATGGACATTGGGGAGGGTATGTGCTATGGTGGTGCTGTGAAGTGTGTAAACCTGGCGATTCACAGACCTGTACCCCTGGGGCTAATAATACATTATATGTTTATAAAAAAATAAAAAATTAAAAAAAATTCTTCCTATCTCTTTCTTTAGGCTCCACTAAATGATCCCTGTGCATGTGCCTCTTTTATGGGCTTGAAGCCTTCCACCAATAAATACCATCTCGTACGAGCAATATTGGAGTCCATAGCTTTCAGGTACCAAAACCTGCCCTAAACTCTCCCTTCCTCATACAGTATTTCCATTTCCTTCTGTTAATTTCTGCTAAACTAAATTATGAAATTTCTTAATTTTAACTTTTTATACCTTTAAAGTCATGACATAATCTGCTCCTATTGCTTAATTGCTGTAACATCTTTTTTTTTTTAGATATAATAGAACCAGTACCATTTAGATTTGATATCTGAAAATAGAGGATTTTTTAAAAATGCAGTTGGCCCTTGAACACCATGGGTTTGAACTGTGCAAATCCACTTAAACATGTGAATTTTTTTCAGTAAACACAGTACAGGACTATAAATGTATTTTCTCTTCCTTATGATTTTCTTAATAACAAATTAACTGTTATCAGTAAGGCTTCCTGCCAAAAGTACGCTATTAGTAAAGTTTTAGGGGAGTCAGAATTTACACATGGATTTTTGATTTTGTGGTGGGTTAATATCCCTAATCCCTGTGTTATTCAAGGGTCAACTGTATCTAATTTCTTAAGCATAAAAGATTTAAAATTTGGGCTTTCAGAGATTTTTCTATCCTTATTGATAAAGGAGAATTCTAATGATTCTAATTAATAATGCTTCCATTATACTCAAAGATTGAATCACCAAAATTACTTTTTTTGTATCTTTCCCTGTGGTCTTTTCATTATGGCACAGTTGTAGTTTCTTAAAGTTAAGAATCTGGCTGTCATAAATATGGAACATTTGGAATGTTTAAAATAAAAATTTCTGTGATTACAAAGTGATTATTTTTATAGTTGATGAATTCTATTATTTTTATAGTTGATGAATTCTATTAGAATGTCATATCATCCTAATCACTGTCTATTAAGTGAATGCTTGCTTTAAATTTTTATTTGTAGGAAGGACAGTAGATTAAATTTATTTCTAAATGAAAAATATACTCCCTTTTATCAAGGTGCAAGCACTAGGCCCCGAACCTCTTGCTTGTTTGAGCATTTATTATCAACTTCCAGTTAGCATAATATTTTTGAATATTTGAATATGTTGGTTTAATGTTTTCTTTTGCATATTTTATAAATGCCACATAAATAAAACCAAAGTTTTTATTTTTCTAGATTGGAAAAAGATAGAGAATTATCATGCTATGAATGTTCCCTAAATAGTTATCTTGATTTTTTTACTAGAAACAAACAGTTGTATGAGTTGATGCAGAAAGAGATCCATATCCCTGTGACAAAAGTCCGGTATGTAAACTTTGTTTTCAATAGATTTAATTAGAAATTGGAAGTGATGGGGCACCTGGGTGGCTCAGTGGGTTAAAGCCTCTGCCTTCGGCTCAGGTCATGGTCTGGTCTCAGGGTCCTGGGATCGAGCCCCGCATCGGGTTCTCTCTGCTCAGCAGGGAGCCTGCTTCCCCCTCTCTCTCTGCCTGCCTCTCTACTTGTGATCTCTCACTGTCAAATAAATAAATAAAATCTTTAAAAAAAAAAATTGGAAGTGAGTAGTAATTGCTATTAGTATTTTCATCATTATGATTATTTAGGATTTCAAAAAAAATTATGCCTAGTTCCTTTGCAACAAAATTCTTGGTCATAGGAATTTGGAAAGAAAAGAATTTGGGCTTATAGAGAACATAACACAATATAGAATTTAGGAAGATCCTAATATATGTATGTATATTATAAACATCTTTAAAATCTCCTTTTTGTATGTGTGGCTATCCTTTTGGCATGGAAACATCAAATTTTCTTTGCTGGTATGTCCAAATGAATTTTTACATTGGCTTAGTTTACTTAGTCTAATTTGAGCTAGTCTTGACAAACAGGGTGGGTGGGAAGATTGATGTTAGGGATAAGGAAAAGTGTTTGAAGATTACCTAGTGAGGACCTTAACTTCAGGTCAATGTGGAATGATACAGTTTTGGAATTAAAAGTTGAACTTACAAAATCAAGAATCAAAAAAAATATATGTGGCCCTTTAAAAAAAAATGAATGTTTTTATGCTTCTGTTGGAATAATTTATCTCAAATATCTTGATTCCCACAGGGCAGATGGAGGAGTTTGTAGGAACAATTTTGTTATGCAGATGACTTCAGACCTGATTAATGCTAATATAGAGAGACCCGTCAACATAGACATGTCCTGCCTTGGTGCAGCTTTTCTGGCTGGCCTTGCTGTTGGTATGTGTGGATTTTATAAAAGCGAGAGCTGTCTTGGAAGCTGTTTCTTGCCAATAGCATTTCTCTTCCCAAATCACAGAATTAAGAGAGGCTCTGGAAAACCTTGGTGTTCATTAAGCTCAATACACATATGCACATAACTCACAGAATACTCCTTTGACCTCCTCTGTGGGTGGGTCTTCCCCTCCCTCCCTCTCTCCCTCCTTCCTTCACTCCTTCAGTCAGAATTATGAGGCAAGGAGAATTAATTTTCAACTGCTCTGTCTTTAGCGGAGGAAAGGTCTCTGGGTAAACTTCTGGAGTAGATAGGCTTTTCTTTGGCATTAGAAACCATTCCATTCTTTTGCTTATTGAAAATATGTTGAGTACCTGCTACATGACAATCACTGCTGGGAATAGAGTTTAAAAGGCATAGTCCCTGCTATGGGAGTCTCTGGTTACAGTCGGGCAAGTCAACCTGTTATTAGACTTGTGTGATAAACCCCGTGGACAGCCATAGCTTTAAGCAAGTGATGCAGGCTTCCCAGAGGAGGTTCAGTTTTGAAGGAGTCAGCAAACAGCCAGAAGGGGGAGTAAGGAGCCACAAGAGGTGAGTGGTCCAATAAAGAAAGCAGCCTGTGCAAATGTCCCAGCCCATTACAGTAAGTGCTAATAGAGGAAAAGCAAGAGGAAAGGCTGGAGAGGAACAGAGGTCCAATTGTGGTAGACTCCTCATACAGGAGTTTGAACTTAATCGTGAAGGCACTGGAGAGCCACCGAAGAATTTTAAGCAGGGGAGGGACATGGATAGATCTATATTTGAACAGACCACTTTAGCAATTAGTGTGAAGATTATTTGGGAGGGTGAAGAATAGACTCAGGAAATGCAATTAGAGGGTTCCCTAGGAAGCAGGATGGTGACTTGGGACACTGGGAATATTTAATACATTCCTGTGTGGAAGGGAAAGAGTGTTTGTACAAAACAGAATATTTTGCAGTTATGAGTTTTAGGCTAATATTTAACATATTAAAGTTATAAATCTAAAAAGTTTGAAATCTTGGTAAGTTCAGCTTTAACTTTATTCTAGTAAAAATCTGCTAACTTTGAATAAAATTGAAACAATCACTTTCATTTGCTCACTGATTAATGTGTGGTTAAAGTTGAAGAAAATAACTTTTCCTTGAATAATATTTCCATTACAAATTCAGTTAAATTCTTTTGTATATTTCAACTAATACAAATTTAATACAATTGACTTTCTTTTTAATAATTTCATATGCCTAACTAAGCAAACTTAGAAGTGTAACAAAGAAAATCTTCTCCTGTACTTAAATAAATTTTAAATCTTGCAAAATGAATAAATTAAGCTTATATTTGCAGTAAATCAAATGCTCATAAACATTCTAATATTATTTATAAGGTAAATAAAATCTTTCTGTGCCTTTTCACCTTGTAAGACTAAAAATATATCAGATTCTCTTGAACATTTTAATTATTTTAGATAACACAGATTATTCTTTTTTTTATGATTTTATTTATTTGGTAGAACAAGAAGCTCAAGCAGGGGGAGCAGCAGAGGAGAAGCAGTCTCCTCATGGAGCAAGGAACCTGATGCTTGATCCCAGGACCCTGTGATTGTGACCTGAGCCAAAGGCCGATGCTTAACTGACTGAGTCACTCAGGCGTCCCCACATACAGATTATTCTTAAACATAACGTAGTAGCAGGACATCTGGGTGGATCCGTCGTCGGTTAGGCCTCTGCTTCCTGCTCGGGTCATGATCCTGATTCTGGGGTCGAGTCCTACGTTGGGCTCCTTGCTTGTCAAGGAGCCTGCTTCTCCCTCTGCCTGCCTCTCCTGCTGCTTGTGCTCTCTCTCTCTGACAAATAAATAAACAGATAAACAAATAAATAAAATCAGTCTTTAAAAAAAAATAACATAGTGGCTTGAGCTTTAGCGGTTTCATTGTATCTATCCTATACTTAATTTCAAACCCTTCCAATACAGAGACTTCACTAACTACAGGGAGTAGTTTTATCGTCTCAGTAAAGCTGAGATTTCTGGTTGGATTGCTTCTCTTTCAGGAATCTGAGACTTGAAGTCTATGCACATCCTATTTTCAAAATTCACCCAGGAGATGAGTCTATTTGATACATATTTAATAAAAGTACTTTAAAAAATATGTATGTCATGGGGCACCTGGGTGGCTCAGTGGATTAAGCATTTGACTCTTGATGTCGGTTCACGTCATGATTTCAGGTATGTGAGCGAGCCCTGTGTTGGGCTCCATGCTCAGTGCAGAGTGCTTGAGATTTTTCTCTCTCCTTCTCCCTCTGCCTCTCCCCCACATCACACGCTAAAGGAAGGAAGGAAGGAAGAGAGGAAGGAAGGAAGGAAATCTTAAAAAAAATACATATGCCTTGGAGAGTAAAGAATTAATTCTGGATATAAGGATTTAAAGAACATGCTTGTTTTCATGACTAGACTTATCTTACTTTAGTATACTAATAAAAACTATTTTTAGTCTTTTAATAACTTCTATAAATTAATATCTTTAAATATGGATAAATCTAAAAGGCTGACATTGTCAGTTAGAAAGAATGTGTCCTGACAGAAAATATGAGAGGAAAGAATTTTGTGTCTGCTTTATTGATAAGAGAAAAATATACCTTAAGAAGACTTGTCAACTCTATTAGTACTTCAGAGTAAGTGAAATACACCAGGTTAATTAATAAGACACCTTAGCCATTTCCGATTACTTGCGGTCATGGATATAAAAGTGTGTTCTTGCTGCTTTTTATTATAAATCACATGATCCTCTTTATGAAGAACAATATATGCCAGGACAATATTATCAGGAAGTGGGATTTAAGTAACTTGTATGAAATAAAATAGTTTGACAAAGAAACTTATTACATTCAGTCCCAAGTTTGAATTTATGCATATCCCAGAGAGTTGCCTCTTACCTCAAGATATATGACAAAAATCCTAATTTATCTTTTTTTAGTTATGTAAAAGGAAAATATACAATTTCTTACTTGAAAACTTTTCTTAGCAAGTCATGAAATTAAATGATGATAGGGTGAGGTTGGTCTGGAAATGGTTGGTGCCCTGACAAACAGAAATAAAGCTGATAGAAACAAAATGATTTTAAAATCCTGGTGTATTTATTCCCAGGGATAGTCAATCTAACAAAATTCAAAAGCAGCAAAAATATTTTAAATTGTGTTTTAAAACAATAGTTGTTTACCTGTGCACCAGTTTGCATAGGTTTGTGGATAAACTTTATGGACTCCTTATTTGCCTTAAAATTTGAGAGTAATTTTTTCTATCCATAGGGTTTTGGGCTGACAAGGAGGAACTGAAGAAACTGAGGCAAAGTGAAGTTGTTTTCAAGCCGCAGAAGAAATGGCAAGAATATGAAATGAGCATGGAAAACTGGGTCAAAGCAGTAAAGCGTTCCATGAATTGGTATAACAAGATGTAGCACTAAGTGGAATGACTGAAACCATATACAGCTGGTTGATACGACACGCAGATGAGACACAGCTCAGGGATGATAACCAATACGACGATGACTGAGATTTCAGATGAGCTTTGCGACCTGCTTTTTGGAATACAAAACAAAACAAAAAAAAAAATCCCTCATTTAGATTTTTAAATCTAAACCTTGATAAGACTGTAAGGCAACAGTACCTCAAAACTTTATATCTTCTGTTTTGTAGCAGATTCCAAATGCCGTTAGCCATTTCCAACCATATTTTGACAGCTGCGGATCCTCCTCCTTTTTATACTGGGTCAACAATACATATGGACATAATTGTTTACTATCTGAGTTGATAGTTCTGGGTCAAGCACCATTCGTATTTTGTTCCAAAATTAAGTGACAAATGTTCCTTTAATTCTTTAAAATTAAATGGGCTATATGAAGTTCCCATAGCTAGGAAGAAAGAAAACTAAGGAAATGGGAAGTTTTGAAACATTAATATTTTATATTTAAAGTCATAATTGTTCAATACTGTATCCAAATAATGAGCTCAAAATGCCCCTCTCAGATAGGCTTATTTGTTAGTTTTTTCCTTTATTGGGCTTAAAGACACTGCCTTAATTTTTCTTTGTTTAACCAAAATCTAAGCATTCTTTTTGTATTGAAAAAATAACTTCAGTGAATTATACTACAAAGGGTAATGATTCATAAGGGACAAGAAAATATTTTCTTCCTCAAATAGGATTTTATATTCAGAAACTTATGGCTAAAGTGTAACTTTTTTTTTTCTTTTTTTACAAAATGCAGATAGTGGATATAAATCTTACTTTTCTCTTCCTATTCTTTATCTTTGTTGATGCTTGCATAAATGTCTTTTGCTTTTATTAAGTGCCTAAATGACAGAGCTTAATTTGAAGAAAGTGCCCTAATTCATTGGTGACATAAGAATTGCCTCCATTGGGGTATTTTACTTATCCAGGTTATCTTTTATTTTTGTTCAATCTACTCATCTCTGTGAGACAGAAGCAGTGGGTAGCTGACAGAGTTAATGGAGGTGTATTCATGCAAATGATTGCCCGACAGTTCCTGGGCCTGAGCTCCATAGAGAGGAGCAGGGATAGTTCCACATTCTCAAGCTTCCTTGATAGAAACAAATGTAAAAGAATCAAGAGTTAGTGAGTAGCTTCGGGCCCGGTGTAAAATTGTCCTGTGGCAGTTGACTACCGTCCAACTTGTTCTCAGGTTATTTGGCCTTCCCTCCACTGGGGCTAGGTTCCATTTTGATTTGTAGCAAAATTGAATTTATTTCCCTCTTGGACAGGCTTTATCACATAAAGATCTACTGTTATAGAGCTGGTTGTTAAATACTAATGTAATTTAAAAAGTGATTATTACAGGGAATTTTGCTGTTGCCATCATATAGGTCCATTTCAGTGACAGAATAGAACTAGAGGTCACACTGCATTCCTGCAAATTCCATTTCAGTGAACTTTGTCTTCTTCTGTTAACATTTTTGATGGAATCATAATAGCCAATACATAGTATCATTAACTCCATTAATTAAGATTTGGAAATATTTTTTGAAGTGGAGGTATTTTGTTTACTGTAACAAGTCAGATTCCATTAATTAGATAATATTCTTTTTATTCTTTTCATTTTTCTTATGTCCTTTTACAGAGCTTAGTGACCAATTATAGGCCCTTTTATCAAAATCCGATCACATACAAGCTGTTCCATTGTTTTACTACTTCTTACAGATTCTGCTTCTCAGTGGGCATGATTTCATAGGAAAGAATTATCTCTTTGTGTTAGGATATACTGAATTGTAATATTATTAATACTTAAAATTTCTTAGCTCATTTCTTTTTCACATTCTTCTTTTTTATCAACCACAAAATAAAGGATTAATACCTTTTAGATAATGTGAAAAAGTAACTGTGAACATGTCTTAACAGAATCGAGCATCTCCTCAAAAATTAGTAGCTAATTTTTTCTTTTGTTAGTCTAGAATTAATCTTTTATTTTTACTACTTCTGGCTGTTTTTAGTGACACAGTTTAGTAAATCTTTTGCCAGATTTGACCTAAATCGGAAACGTGCCCACATTAGCTTTTGTGGTTGTAGAAACAGTTGATATTCAAAATCGGTTGAACAAAAAAATTTATCATTTCCATCTCCTAAGTTTATTTTCATTTATATGCTAATATTTGCAGTTTGAAAAAAATTGTGCTAAGATTTCTCAGCATGTTTTATTTTCCCATTATGGATCTATCAGATATTTTTACGAGGTTTGTAGCTATCTTATCAAGGAGGAAAATGTTTATGAATTGCTTTCATACCTAGACTTACTGATTTTTAATTTTTTTATATCCCACCATAATAGGGTTTCTCAATGTTAGCATTATTGACATTTGGGCAGGTAATTCTTCATCTTGGGATGTTGTATTGTGCATTATAAGGTATTTGGCAGCTCTACCTGCTAACGAGTAGCATCCCCTTAGTTGCTGTGGTCAGAAATGTCTCCTAGCACTGCCGAAGGGCCCCCAGGAGGCAGTATCACCCCTGATGGAGAACCACTAATATAGACTATTAGAAAAATTGAAGACTCAGCAAATGTAGTGTGTCTCTAATGCTCCTTTTCTCTCTGCCTCATTTTAATTTAGGAAATGGTTGTTAGCAAAAAGATGTGGTTGTATCTTAAATAGGGTTTCTACTTTACCGGTTAGTGAGGCAAAAAAAAAAAAAAAAAGAAAAGAAAAATTTTATGTTGTAATTTTCTTCTGCTATTTTTACCCACTCGCCCCCATCCCCATGCCTGCATCCTCTGTGGTTTTAATGAGTGGGTTTATGACTTCAGTATAGGATTAATACAGTCTGCAGAGCATCTTGATTTGATCTGCCTTTTTGCTTCCTTTTCATCTCTGAACAAAAGAGATGATCACTCTCTTACCTGCGTCTGTGCAAGACTCCTATCAAACTGAAAGTTCCTCAAAAGCCGAAACCATGTCGGTCACCTGGGTGGCTCAGTCAGTTAAGTGACTGCCTTCAGCTCAGGTCATGATCCTGGAGTCCAGAATCGAGTTCCACATGGGGCTCCCAGCTCAGCACGGGGTCAGCTTCTCCCTCTGACCCTCCCCCATCTCCTGCTCTCTCTCTCATTCTCTCTCAAATAAATAAAATCTTAAAAAAAAAAAAAAGCAGAAACCATGTCTGCTTCCACAGAACCTAACTCTGTGCCTTCCTATTGATGGGGTGAATTTTTACTTTTTAAGTGCAACTTTTTTTGCATATATATTTTATCCTTGATTTAAATACATTTGTTGATAGGGAGGAGCTTATATTTGTTGCAAGTAAAATATGTTTTGTTGGATTAAGAAGGACAACAGCCGACCCTTGAACAACATGGGTATGAACTGTGCAGGTCCACTTATATGCAGATTTTTTCCGTAAATATATGTACTATATTATAAATGTAATTTCCTTATGATCTTCTTAATAACATTTCCTTTTCTCTAGCTTAGTTTACTGTAAGAATACAGTGAATAATGCATATAACATACAAAACTGTGTTAATTGACTTTATATTATCAGTAAGAATTCTGGTCAACAATAGGCTATCAGTAGTTAAGATTTGGGGGAGTAAAAAGTACATATAGATCTTGGACTGCACAGGGGGTCGGCACTCCTAACCCCCATGTTCTTCAAGTGTCAGCCTGTGAGAGCTAGAATCCTCCTATTGTTTATTTTAAAATTCTTCATATGTTTATATATTTGCATATGTATTTGTGTGGAGATACACATCTATAAGTATACATAGTTACATCAACTTTCTAAGGTACAGTTGAAGCCTCTGCATTCACACGTTTTGCATTTGAGTATAGACAGCTCAGAGATTGAATCTTAAGAACACCAAACCCTCTGATGTTAGAGGGAAATAACTTCAGAAACATTCCCTTCTTCAGAGGTCTTATACTGAGGACCAGTCCTTTTTTTTTTTTTTTAATGATTTATTTATTTTATTTGACAGGCAGAGATTAAAAGTAGGCAGAGAGGCAGGCAGAGAGAGAGAGGAGGAAGCAGGCTCCCTGCTGAGCAGAGACCTGACACGGGGCTCCATCCCAGTACCCTGGGATCATGACCCAAGCCGAAGGCAGAGGCTTTAACCCACTGAGCCACCCAGGCGCCCCAGGACCAGTCTTTCATGAAAAATAATTTAACTCAGGAGTTTGGCAAGAATTTTATTATTCTCTGAAGAGAAGACCCTGGAGTTCTTCAACTTGAAGTGATTCTAGATTCATCCAGACATAGCCTAGAAGGCTTGAATCTACCCCAAAGGACTCTGAATCCTTTTGGGAAATCTAGATCATGTTTCTTGGTTAGAATTAAAATATACTTTGGACCTATGTGGTCCCAGAATCATTTTCTTGCCTCCCCAATGCTGGTCATCTGGTTCAAACCAGTGAAAATGGTAACCCCAAGGAAGTCAAGTAGGTGCTGCTTATTTGTTTTTAAGTTCTGGAGCCTCATAGTCATAAATATTTTGGTACCAGCACTGGTTCTAAGTTACTGGCTATATTGTCACCATATTCTCATGGGACCCTTGCCCTTAGGGTAATGCAGCAATGATCTTGGGAGTGGGAATGTTAGAGACAGGAACCTGAAGAATCAGATATTCCTGAAATTCTTTGTATGCTATTTCTACTGCCTTTCCCCCCTTTATTATAAATTTGGTTTATTAAAATGGATATGTCTGTATAAATATCTATGCTATTTAGGAAATAAAAAATGTAAGGTTTCCATTTAAATGAGCCATATCTTTACAAGAAACTTTCAAACTGTTCCAGAGTAGCTGTACCATTTTACATTCCAACCAGCAACGTGTGAGTGATCCAGTTTCTCCATATCCTCACCAGCATTTGATGTCACAATTTTTTATTTAGCTACTGTGTTAGGTGTGAGGTTTTCTCCTTGTGGTTTTAATTTGCATTTCTCTAATTAATAATGATGTTTAACATCTTTCCATGTGCTTTTTTGCCATCTGTTTATCCTCTTCAGTGAAATGTCTATTCATGTCTTTTGTCCATTTACTAACTGGGGT